ATACACGAGTTGGTATTTATTGAGTTCTCCTTCTAGCTTTTTTTTCTTATATTGATGGTATCTGAAGGGTATTCAGGTACAAAGTGTGATGCTTCAAAAACTAATACACTGTTTGATGAGATATCAAATCGAAATGAACTAACAGACGCGGAAAGGTGCTTATTGAGTTGTTCTTTATTTCCCCCACTTTTTTGTTTTATAACCTTTCACACGAGTTCATCTATTTCCGTCTCATCGATGCATATTAACATCCAACACCCACCCTGGTCATTCACCTATAACCAGCATATGCAGTGACGCGGTTTCAGTGACTGAAAACGATATTTGGGAGCTGGCTCTAGAAGAGGGATTCCCAAACCAATGCAAAACTGAAGGCTGTTTACCATTAAGAGAAGAGATAATTGAATACCCGGTGGCTCAATCCATTTTCTGAATTCTGGTTGCAGGGCGAATACCAAACAGTGGTCCTTAGATCATTAATAAAATAGTGATTTGCAATTCATTAACTTGCAAACGTGTCCCATTTCGACGATTTACTGGGGACACTTAATAGCCTCGACTGACCTACTGAAATTTCCACTTAAATGAGTATTCCCTATTTGATTGGAAGATAAAGTTGACACACTGTTTGAACCTTAGCCGCCGCTTATGTTTTAAACATGCCCTATCGCCACCTTTTATCGCGTCGTATTGAATTTATAGCATGTAAGGTGAACTTGCCACCTTGGCAAAATTTCATATCGCAAAACCAATCAACGCCAAATGCTAAATTGTCATTCTCTTGCTGATATATTGGAAGGAGTGATAGCCCCATTTCCCTGACGAAAATGTTTGTGTCAAAATAATGAAAGTTTGCTGGAATTGATGATTTTATTGTATTATCAGTAGTAGTTTATCGTATTTGTAAGCATTACCATGGGGTATATTTTTGTGATGGTAAGGATAAAAAAATCCAATCGCCTATTACTTTTGCGATCAATTCTGCTATTTCTTTGCATATAAAAAGGTGGGTTGTGGACGTATGCATGCGTGCATGTAAGAATCATAGTGTGCGCGTGTGTGAGAGAGAGTTGTTTAGTCTTCATCTGCATATGTCAAGAAAAAGCATTTTTTTGTAATAAAACATATGGTGCACATAACGCCAGGTGCAGCCTCTGATCAGAAAAATCTAACTTTTTCATAGATTCATTTATTTACTTATTTATTTATAGTATTTATTTATAGATATTTACAAAAAATGTGCGTTTTGTATGCCACTTAGTAAGCAGCGCCACCTTTGTCAAGAGCAGCGGTAAATACCTATTCTTGTTCCTTCATCGTACCGCTCTCTTGAGAACTGCTCCATAGTCTACAGGTTTGGCATTAAGGCAAAAAGATCAATACTTGAAACAGACTTTAAGTCAACTAGGTACTGATTGATGAAAGATAGCGAGATTGTTCGCGAGTAGATTGTAGACAAATTAAACTGAAACGAGTGTCTTTGGGGAGGCTTTGTTTCTCTTGTAGGATTGTTCTTTGAATGAAATGAGTATAAACAAAGATTAGTGTGTCTTGTAGAGCGTGAACCCAGGTTTGCGATCTGTGACACTTGTACGCATATCAATATTCCCTTGGGTATGAGTGAGTGGCATTTAATTTTGGAGCAAACGCTCTCACCGGCTTCTCAATCAATTTTCATCATTTTTATGTTCTTTGTCTTTGGGTGATGTTTTGCCAGAATTTGTTTTAAAGATACGATCGTTTAGGCATTGCGTCCCAACCAAAGTCAAGATGCAAGATAAAGTTGTTAGTCTAACATGTGGAATGACATTACAATGACCGCCTTAATACCATAAAACATCACTTCAAAAAAAAAAAAAAAAAAAAAAAAAAAAAGCACGCGGTTTTAAAGTTTTCGTGGGTACAGTGTGACAATATCAGGATGTCGACCTGTACATAGAAAATATACCATGAAAGCTTGTTGATGTTGACTACCTTTATAAGTTCTTTATTTGATGCTGTGGTGGGAAAATGGATTCGATTCTATAAAGCCTGTGCATTATTTCCCCAAGGTGTGCGACAGTCAGTTTATTTAATTTGTAGGAACGTTGCTCTCTAAAATGGGTGGAAAACAAATGAAAACACCCGTGTCAGGACGCCCGGGCCGGAGTTTAACGTGGGTTCAAATAGCCCATACAAACATATATGAAACTTATGGCCAAACCAAAAACCCAGGGGGCAACTTGCCCACCATTTACACAAGTGTTCCCATGCAGGCTGGTAGGAATTCTCTCATGCCGTCCCTCTTTATCACTGCCCCATTGAAAGTGGATGCAGCCCCCCCCCTCACACACACACACACCACCACCACCACCACCACCACCAACAACAACAACAACAACACCACCCTCTCGCTCTCTCATGTCATTATTTTTCTATGGATATATTTAGGATATATTTAGTGACGTGCATCATCTAAGACATCATGCGCCAAACCTTAAAGCCGAAAATGACAAAGGAAGTTTTTCGAGGTTTTTCTGTTTAAAATGATGTTAGTATTTTTTAACATCCAACCAAAACTTTTGAAGCAATATCAAAATGTCTCTTAACACGCACCATGCCATTTCTTCAAGCCGTTTTAATCGGTTCTCTTCGGCAACATGTTACGGACTCGGTAGCAGTGATAAATGACATGCAGATTAACCAGACTGTAGTCAACATATTTGAAGTGGATTTCGACAGCCTGTGCTTCAGGGGCTTTTTCACTTCAGACGGTTGATAATCAAACAAAGACCCAAGATTTATGATTTCCACATTTATAAAACAGAGATTTTACAGATTACTTTGTCTGTTTTGGTGCACTGTTCTTGGTTCTTTTGGAGCATTTTAGTAGTTGCATTCGTAATAACAGCTTAAGCTGAGTGATAATACAGACTTGACATTTAATATGGAATATTTTTTCAAAATCATAATTCATCAGTTTTTTTNGCCTAGGCATAAAAGGGTAGTAAACCCGTAGACCCTGACCTTTCCGGTAGAGCTTTACACCGTTGAAAAGGCTTGTAAAGAGAATATTCAGACCCATTTCCTGAAGAGTAAAAGAGCTGAAAATTGACTTTTTGTGCTGTGATACAGACTTGACATTTAATATGGAATATTTTTTCCAAATCATAATTCATCAGTTTTTTTCCTATTTTGCCGACTGATAAATGAAAATAAGGATCAAAATCGTGTTTTAATAACTTCTGATAAACTGTTCCATGTCATTGTGACATCAGTTCTTAAATTGACTTCGCCAATGATGCAAACAAAAATACATTGCCAATTTTAAGTCATACGACAACCATTGAAAGCGATATTTTGGATCTCCATATTTTCCAAATTATCGTCTTTAAAAGAGTTACACGACCCACAAAGGACCTTCATGTCAGTGTCTAGTCACAGTAACGGTCGCCGCTATGCCTGACCTTATCTTTCTGCTACCAGAGCTTTCAAGAGGCAAGGCATTTCTTGCGATAGTTTTTTTAGAATTTAATCTGGAATAAAATTCCAGGCAACGGTTAAAGCTTGTCCAATTTGGTTCAGTTTTGTTGTAGGACATGCAGGCCGTTGATTTAGCGACTATTGACCTAACCACATATTGTTAAAGTGGTTCAAATATGGCGATTTTGATGACCAAGGTAGCTGCTCATTCCCTTGGTTCTGTAAGTTATCTTCTATTAAAAGTGCTCTGTGTGAACCAGCAATCTGATCGTGCAACCTAAAACTGTTCCTAAGGTGCCCCCTATCAAATGATAGTCAAATGGTTCCCAGATTATTCCTTAATTTGATCTGGTTCAGGTTTTCATCGATGACTTCCATTGGTGTTTTGGCACCAATGTGGTATCAACTCCAAATATTGACGCTGTCAATGGCCCTAGTCACTTCAGAAGCGGCACACACCTTGCCGTAGGCCTCTTCAGGATGTCTGTAAACTTGTTTTGATCAATTAAGCGGTACATGTGAAATCTGACCTCAATAAAGAAAACAACGCGATTTCAGTGTTCTACCCAGAAACGGTAATGGTCCCCAATTCATTAGAGAAACAGACTACGCTGTTTTGCTGTTTACAGTGGCTTCCTCAGAGGTCGCCTTATATCCTCATCTGCTGAAACCATTTTGGTCTTCGCTTAGCGCCTTGAAAAACGCGTTTTGGTGACAATTTGCCCCTCATTTAAAACGGACTAGGTGGTTTTGGTTTAATTGTAGCAGCATTTCCTGAAGGACATTGAGTCCTGTATCCTGGTGGTAAGATATCGATACATTGGACGTGTTGTCTGTGTGGGTACATAACCCGGGGCATTACTCTATGAAACTGTGCGGACAGTTCCGTTTAGGGCAATTATCTGTCTGGCAATGTCTGTCTTTTTCGCGCCATTCTGGCACAGCTTAACGATTTTGATAAACAATGCTTGACTTATTTTACGCACTGCAGAACCGACCGCTTGCATGCAAAATTTCAAATTCTTCTATGCAATGGTTGCCGACATATGTATACATTTTTGACAGAGCCATGCCTCGCCAAAGCCAAGCTTTGGCCAGCCCAAAGGAGCACTACCCAATTAAATCACTGCATATCACACAATGCAGCAATGCAGCAGACTTGGTAATCAGTTAATTGGTAGAGACACACCTGTCTTCACACTCCTCCAGTCAGATATCTTATATGAGATCTGAGTTTTTTCAATAAAGAACGCATTTTTACCTAGGTATACCTTTAAAACTGAAATATTCCATATTAAATGTCAAGTCTGTATTAGACTATATGCAGATATGTTAACATTCGACGTTGCGCATATTTTATAAACCGTGATATGCTGGCACCGTGATGTACGATGTACCAACATCAGAGTTAGTAAAATACATCATGAATAAGGAAATAAATTCTATTGACGCCAGTATTTCGGTGTTGTAGTCTTGTTTAAAGACAACTGTTCAATTGAAATACTCAGCTTTTCACCGAGAAATATATCATACAGTCACTAGACGTCTACGAGAACAGCTATGCCGCTTTGCCGAGTAGAAACCAATGTATCGGGAGATCAGATACCGGCTGACTTCCATGTTAAGCTTACCCAAATACTCTCAAAGGTGCTGGATAAACGAGAAAAAGTAAGTATTAACAAAACAATTGATAAACTCAGGTTTCATTCTGATGCCTTAAAGCATATATCCCTCGTGAAAAAATATACTTGAGGTTGACAACAGAATGTAGGCTTATTTTTGTAAGTATTAATAACGTGCGAATATTATCCCAAAGGGCTGTTATTTTTTAAAACTTTCGTTACCAAANAAACTCAGGTTTCATTCTGATGCCTTAAAGCATACATCCCTCGTGAAAAAATATACTTGAGGTTGACAACAGAATGTAGGCTTATTTTTGTAAGTATTAATAACGTGCGAATATCATCCCAAAGGGCTGTTATTTTTAAAACTTTCGTTACCAAAATAGGCTAGGTTACTAAATACACAAATATTCCACATCCTATAGTAAGGCATGAATTTAAAAAAAAATTCCAGTGATTTATACTAAAAACCAGATTTATTACTTTTACTTTACCAGAGAATTAGAAAAAGTAGAATTCGTGAATATTTTCCGTGAATATTTTTTCACTTTTTTGCTTTCTTCATATTGAGAATGAGAGATAATTTCCATGGACTTTAAGCCAATGGCATCGCCTAAATAAGTGAAGGAGATATCTCGGATCTCGTGTGTAAAGTAAACAACTGGGTACCCTATATTTCAGGGTATAGGCTGATATGGCATTTAATATAACCAGGTTTTATATACTTAGGTTTTAAAGATTGAACGCACAGAAACGGTAGTTTTGGTCTTATCCGTCAACCAAATGATAAAATTTGTCGTATGAACTGAAATAGGCTATTTTAGAATATTGAAAAGCAATTATTTACACTAATGTCAATCACATGTACTTTCTCAACTATAAACATTACATGTCCTGCAAGTTTCAACCTTGAAAATATGGACTGCTGCTCGTATAATATACGTAAAATATACTGACCTAAATTTCCAACGCAACACATACAATTTTGAAATATTTGGTGTACATAATATGGGAAATTGGTTTTGAGTCATAATACATCAACTACATCTTAAAAACTCAGAAAGTTGTTTTGATTTTATCGTTTGGGCAGCTCGTTTTGCTTGATGGGGAGATAATATAACATCTCCCCAACTATATAAATGCCATAATATAAAATTAATAAAGTATGTTAATAAGTGTAACCAAATTAATTAAGAAAATTATAAGTAATAACAACAGCTTTAGGAGCAAAAAGTTGGCATAAATAAAATTAAAAGGTCATAAGATGTGAGAGAAGCTCACATCCCCGCCAACCGAGATTGACTCCATGCATCGCAGAATCCAGGCTGTGTGTGACGCCAGAGGAAGCCATACTAGGTACTGACTTCGGTGATCCAGAATTGCGCCTTCAGCTGATGCAATGAACATAAAACCAGGAAAAATCTGTTCTTCATTCCTGACTCTGAAACTGTGTTTTTGATTTGAATCTTTGTTATGTATTGTTAAATTAAACGTAAGATAATGATGTGTTGCAATTAACCCAAGCGTTGCGTTGGAAGTTTTGGTCAGTATAACCTCATTAAAGAATAGCTAATGTATAAATGTGCTAAAGCCAGTAAAAGTTAGCGTTTCGTCAAAGCCGAAAAACGTCTAAAAATCCGATTTGAATTGCGTTCCTTCGTATAAAAAGTCCTAAAAAAACGACAACCACTTTTATTAGTTAATGGTCCAATCGAGAATAAGTACATTAGTGACAACATTGCTGTTGCAGCAAAATATAACCTCACTTCTTTTTTTATCATTCCTTTAATTCTTAGTTCTATTTTTTAAAATGAACTTTTTTTAAAATGTGGCCTAACGCAACAATTTACAAGGCGTGTGAGAATAACCCCTTTCCTCTAGTAAGATAAAACGTCCCCTAAATCCCATGTATATTTTCAAAGTGTTAAAATATGACAACTAATACAATTAGTCATGTCCAATGGTCCACTCGAGAATAAAAACATGAGAGACGGCTTTGATGTTCTGGCAAAATATAGCCTCACTGATTTGTATAGCATTCTTTTTTTCTTTTTTCTACTAAAATTCTTATTGCAGGATATTATAATCATAATGCGGCCCAACGCGACAATGTACAAGGACTGTAAAAATGTCCCCATTGCTATAATCAGCATTAAGGCGGCGGGAAGGTTTAATCAAGCTAACAATTCCAAGTACAACACAGCAATTGCCAACATTGTGCTCTCTAAGCTCGGAGTTGAGGCTGACAAGTAAGTGCACTGCACCGAGAATCTGTGATCTAATTTACTCAAACGAAACGAGAGATTAAAATTTTAAGATTATTATCACTGCTAATTCTACTATCAATTTGAGTTACCTTAATTCACTTTCTAAGTAAGACTTCTCATACAAAGCACTTGTTATATGGATACGTGCCTCATGTGTCTTCGTTTAGCAATGTCATCAAAATAAATAAAGAAATAAATAAATAAAAGTAAATAAATAAAAAAGAAAAAATGATTAAAGAAAAATAAAGAAAAAATTAAAACTTTAACTTAAGCGAAACATTAATTTTCAGCAATTTGGAGGTGATTTTTTTTCAAATCATAAATAATTATATGCAACGTTAACATCTTTATCTGCATTGGAATATGCTTTTTCTTTCAGTTTGAGAATTTTCTATGAAGACATGTCCTTGGATTTCATTGGCAATGGGAACAGGTTGCTGTCTGCGAGTATCTAAGCAGAGTTTTTGTCCTCTCTATATTACTGGATAGTGACTCCCTCTGCAATATACACTGCAACACTCCAATAAATTTTAATCGATAAAACAGAGAAAATAAAACGTTTACAATGTAAATCATTAAAGAGATTTAATCTAAATTTTCATTACGTAGTATTGTTCAACTATGAAGAATTCATTTCATTTCCATATTTAAATAATGTTATATTTCAAAAGGATTAAAGGACATTATCCATTGAGGTCTAGCCGTCGATGAAAAATCGTATCGATAAATCGACTGTCAAACTCTTACAGTAATTGCATAGGTTTGTCTTTTCGAGAGATGAATACTCATACTCATCATACTGAATTGTTGCAATAAAACTATTCTCATACTGAATTGATGAAATAAAACTGAAATAAATCATAATAATCATACTAAATTGATGAAATGAAACAATCCTCAAACTTATACTAAATTACTGAAGTAAAATTATCCTCATACTCATACTGAATTGCTGAAATAAAACTATCCTCATACTGACACTGAACTGTTGCAATAAAAGCTATCCTCTCAGAACATTCCTAATAATCCTACAGGGCCCCGTAACTCGAAAGTCATCGCGTATTGCGAATAGCGATATCACATATAGAGGCTACAACGGGACGAGTATGGGCGAGTTATGGCATCAAGACGCTTGCGCTCGTTCGTAATGCGCGATGCTTCGAGTTACGGGTCCCAGGGCTCTATCTCGAAAGCTTCGCAAATTACGACCACTTTTTCTGCTTTTTCATTTTGTGTAGAAATTAAACTTTTTAACTAATGCTTATTATCAATAGACTACACAGATGAATATTCACCAGAAAATATAAAATGATGTATCAAATGTTTAATTTTGACATTTTTATACATAATAAAACATGTCTTTAGCATTCTTCACGTGAAAATTTACCGCAAGTTTTTCTATCAAAGGTACCGAGTGTCTCAATCTTTCATAAGCTTTCTTTGTTTTATGCTATAGGCTATCTTTCTAAAATGACGAATTATGCACTCGCAAAGGCCATTGCAACGGGATTTACTCGTCGAAAATAATAACCTCGAAACTAAAGGTGATATCGCTATACGCGCGCAGTCGCCACTTGCAATGCTTTCGAGTTATGGAAAAGCGACTAATCGCCATGCTTGCGCTTGGTCGAATTTTTCGATGCTTTCGAGTTACGGAGCCCTGCACGCTTGAGCTCTGCTCGAAAGCCCTGGCGGCAGAAAGATGATGAAAAATATTTTCAGTAAAACTCCAGAAAATAAAGTTTTATTGAAATGGTTCTTGTAGAGTTATTCATTCATTATGTCAAATTTTTTCTTTTTGTTAGTCGCTTCATACAATTTTACGGTTTCAATTCGCAAACTCCCGCATAGGCATTTCTCTTCTCTTATCCCCGCCCTCTGCTCATCAACTTTCTTTTCCAGCTCAGCGTTTTTCAGCATGAGATTATTATTCTCTTTCATCATTTCCCGAGGTCGTTGTGGTATCGCTGTAATTTGAAGGCTTGATCCTTTATCATCCTATTGTAGGAACGGTTTTCAGTTTGACGAAGTATTTGAATATTGAGGTAAATGTTCGTCGCTTTGTTGACCTCTGCCTCAGCTGCAGCAAGCTCTCTCTGGGTTCTACTGTAAGTTATCTTTAGATCTGAAATAAAGTCTCTTTTTTTCCGTGATTTTTTCAAGCAAATTTCAGTCAATTACTGTCCATCCCAAATGACAAATCACTAAAAATGCAAAAAGGGCAAAAAAAATATGCAAGACATCGGTATACCCATATATTGAGGATGTTCAGTGGGGCTGCAACCGCGTTTGCATCTCTTAACTTTCTTTTCTGTCCTTTAGAAAACTTTTTTCTTCAGTTGAGCGTTCTGCTATTAAATCTTCCCAGCTTCTCTCTTTAAATGCTGCAGGTCTTCTCTTTCTTCGACGAGTAGGCTTGCAGCTGCCCCTTGAGGGCTTACTTTTCATTCGACAAGCGTTCTTCTTGTCGAAGTCTTAAATCTTCTCTCCGCAAGCTGCTCTGGCGTTCAAATGTTGCCCTTAATTATCATGCAGATTTAAAAAAGAAAATTGAAAATGGCTGAATTATTATTCTGGTCATTAAAAAGAACTTTTTATTTTAGTAGGACGCATCATATAACGGCGCTGCTTCAAGTTTCGTCTTCACTTGTAGATCCATGTAGTCAGCCGTGTAGTCAGTATATATTATATCACGTATAGTGAGTGTTTTTGACCTGCTCGGTGAGTTCCATTCCCGACCTTGGCCTTGACTGGTAGACGGCTGATCCTATTGTATGTCAACAGTAGTGCTTCTCTGTTGCTACGGTTACTCAACGGCAGAATATTAACATTATACAGACGTTCGTTCCATATTTCCAGCAACTCCACGATGCCACTGTGTAGATTAGAAACCAATCTGTCCAAGGAACAGATTCCAGAGGACTTCCTCATTAAACTGACAGAAAAGCTTGCCGAGATAATGAACAGGCCGCAAGATGTAAGGATGATGCCACTGAGGGTGAAAATATCATAGCCTACTAAAAACTGTGCAGGACCTAATCTGACTCGAGATGGGGGCGAGGGTTGTCCTTTCAAATATTTTACGTTTGCAGATTCCTGAGGAGGAGGGGGTAGGGTGTTATTGCTTGTACCCTGGATGCCCTAGCTTTTACTAGTAATGGGGTCAGTGCATTCTCCCGTCTTTATTTTGAATTTCTTTACATCCATTTTTTTATTTGAGTGACGATGCGAGAATTTTGCCATTTTCGGGTACCATGTCCCAGCATTTACTTTGAGGTTTTTAAACGAACAAGTGTTGCTTTGTAGTAACACATTTATACTAGTTCAGTAGCTCAATGGTGACATTTTTTTCCAGCAATTTTTTGTTGTAATGCAGCCTAATATGACAATTTACCACGACTTCAAGCAACTCCCTTCTGTCATACTAACCATCAAAGCTGCGGAAAGGTTCAACCCAGATAACAATAAAAAGTACTTTCCCGAAATTGTCAAGTTGTTTCTCTCTCAACTCAAGGTTGAGCCAGAAAAGTAAGTACATGACAAATACATGTAACAGAATAACGAAACACACAGAAGCACATTACAAATATAAGTCGCACAAATATTAAAAACGCCAATACAACACACTGTTATAGACAAGAGGGTCGACACACTTCTAAATGTGAATTTATTGTAAAAGATAATTTTACTACATCCGGATATTTTTATATAAAAGAAAACGGCAGGTGCTTCAATAGGATTCGTTTCCAATTTCAGACTCGTGATCCTGTTTGAAGACGTCTCCCCAGACTTTGTGGGCACTGGGGAAGGACTGATGTCCCAAACCATGTAACTTGTAAATACACCGGTCTTTAGTGATAAAAAGAGACACTTATTTTAACAAACATCAAAATCATATGTGGAATTTCTATAATTTTGTCTTTTGGACTACTGATGGCATCCTAGATGGTTGTTTTTTATGCTTGCAATTGAAAATGAAAATATTGATTTTGTTGGCAATGAACTGTTCAAGCAGTTGACATAAACCATACAAGCAAGTTAAAAGAAGGCACTGGGTGAAGTAAATGCAAGTGTTTCTTGTCACTTTTTGGTATTCTGGGCTTGAGATAATTACAGAATGTTGTGTCATCCCCACATTTTCCTACAGTATATCATGACATAATTTCTAAGCAGTTATTTCTGATCGGTGACCATATTTGGTATTTATCCTGTTAGTCCAGCAGGCCTGCTTTATGCTTATTTACTTCGTTTATGTATGTAAGCAGTGTTTTAATATCGACCAGCAAACATTTTTATGCTTTTCAATGCTGAGTTGTGCCTACAGACTGTAATGTTACAACAATGACTGGTAAAATTGTATGTGCATAGCGATGTCAAAATACCTGCCTGAAATATGCTTATAATTGCACTACACTATACATTTCTACATGCATGTATTTTATGAATGTGTGTGTGTGTGTGTGTGTGTGTGTGTGTGTGTGTGAAAGAAGATTTCAGTTAAGTGTGTTTTTATGTTTTTCTCTTTTTTTTTTTTTTTTTGCGATTTTTGGTATTGTGTACTTATTTCCAAGTCTAATTGTTTTTCATCTATCAAGATTAATTCCTATGCACAAAAACCATTTAAGTTTAAATTTTGTAAAAAGCAACATTTATTTTTACGTATACCAAATGCATCTGTGCATGGAATTTAATAAATTAAAATGGACTAAAATCTGTGATGCTTAATTTTGTAAAATATACAAGAATATAATCAATGAATAAAATCATTACCAAATTACGTTACACAAAGATTGATGTATATGTCACTATGTAATTAAGAGAATAAGAGTTCAATATATAGGAGTCCCTCCCTTCACCGTGGTTAACTGGTGTTAAATTAAGTTTTTACTATTGCCAAGAAAATAACTTTCCCGACCTCTGATAAAAAATTTAAATGTTTGGTTAAAAAAGAATTTGAATATCCGCCTTATGTGGTTTTCAATATCACTTTGCAATTGGCCACCGACTGTCATGAACCACATGAAAACGTAGTTAATATTTTTGAAAAAGTAAATACAAGGAGCTAAATGTCTGCCATTTGAATTAATTCTATTTTGTTCACATTCGACGCGTGTGCACGCAAATATTTTTATAAAACGTGATGATATGCTGACACCGTGACCGACATTAGAATTCATAAAGTAAATCACACAACAATTTTTCAGGCTATGCTCTTTGCCTTTAGCATTAAGGTAGCTGGAAGGTTTAATAAAGTCAACAATCCAAAGTACAACACAGCAATTGCTAATATATATTCTCTGAGCTCGGAGGTGAAGCAGACAGGCAAGTGCACTTTAACGAGAATCGTCTATCTAATTTACTTTAACGAAACAAGAGATTAAATTTTTAAAATTATTTTTTCTAGAATTCTACTTTTAATTTGAATACTAATTAACTTCACCTACAAAGTACAAGGACACTTCTAGTTATATGGGTGCGTGCTTCATACGTTTCCATTCCGCTTATTAGCAAAAAGAAAATTAAAACGTCCACGTTTGCATTTCGCTCAATATTAACTTTAAGAATTCTAGTGTAATGAATCATGGATAAAATTACACATTTGTTATTCTGTCCATGGATGAAATAATCCTTTTCAAAAAATAATTAATTATGCAATTTTAACATTCTTATCTACGTGGGAATATCCGTTTCAGTCTGAGAATTCTTTATGAAGACGTCCATAGATTTCATTGGCACTGGGAATGGATTGATGTCTGCGCGTATATTAGCAAAGACACTGGTCTTATTCCCATTACTTGATAGTGGCTCCCTTTGCACACACTGCCCCCACTTGCATATACTTTTATTGATAAAAATAGAGAAATTGTATCAATAAAAGTAGAACATCATAGGTTGTCAAACTCTTACTCTAACTGCACGTTTATTTCAAAGATTTGTCATACTGAACTGTTGCAATCTACTCAGAACAATTTCTCAAACAGTTTCATTACATTGGGATACTTATTTCGTTGGGATACTTATTTCGTTTTCCATGCCTAAATACATCATACATCATGGAAATAATTAGTATTATCACATCAGTGTGGTGTTGTCAAAATGTCAATGTAAAGTAGATTAATAATGATGATAATCACTAACTTGGATTGGGAAATACTCCTATTATTCTGGTGTCTTGCAGTCATGTGCCAAGATTTTATCTACCTCAAACTCACATTGGTCTAAAATTGCAATCATTTTTACAGACAATGACAACGGCTTGCTATCGTATCGGCAACCGTAATAATATAACACAATTCACTTTTTAGTCTATTACGAAGAACAAATCTTGTTTCCAACAGCACTTTGATAATGTTATCTCAATAATCATGTGTAAGTACGTACAACCGTGCCACCGCTATACTCTCTTGTCGCCGAAAAGTGATAAAAACTACCGACTTAATCACAGAAATAGCTAAACAATTTTAGCGGCTGATTGTTATTTAACAAGTTTTAACTACTTCAAACAATCGTTATAACTTTCAACATGGCATATCCTACGTTAGGCCTACTATATTAACTATCAGATAAATATATACAAGCAAAATGTTTTATGTCCAGATCACCGAGCGTTCCACAATTTCATTACTATACCGATACTGGAAGTCCATCGAATATTATGAAATCAAGTTTTGTTGCTCAGAAAGTGTACAAAACGTGCATAATTTTCACGATGGTGATAAAGATGCAGTTTAATCTAAAGTCCAATATTGCTATTTAAAGTAGCTAGCACCAATCCCTACATCTTGACTTCACCATCATTATGCCTCAAACAAAAGTCAAATTCAGCAGGACCCTTGGCTTCTGCCCGAAAGCGCTGAAGGCAGAAAAATGACGACAAAAATTATCAGCAAAACTCCCGAAATCAAAGTTTTCATGAAATGGTTCTTTTCGAGCTCTTCATTCAACACTTCAATCGTTTTCTTCATGTTAGTCTTTTCATACTCTGTCTTGCGCAATTCATCCTCCAGTTTTCCGATTTCAATTCGCGAACCCCCGTGTAGGCGTTTCTCTTCTCTTATCTCCGCCCTCTGCTCATCAACTTTCTTTTCCAGCTCAGCGTTTTTCAGCGTGAGACCAGTATTCTCTTTCATTGCTTTGTCGAGGTCGTTTTGGTATCGCTGTAATTTGAAAGCTTGATCCTTTATCATCCTATTGTAGGAACGGTTTTCAGTTTGACGAAGTTTTTGAATATTGAGGTACATGTCCGTCGCTTTGTTGACTTCTGCCTCAGCTGCAGCAAGCTCCCTCTGGGTTCTTATGTAAGTTATCTCTAGATCTGAATAGAGTTTCTCTTTTTCCGTGATTTTTTCATGCAGTTTCCAGTCAACGAGAACCGTCCATCCCAAATGGCAAATCACTATGAACGCAAAAAGGGCGAAAACAAATATGAAAGGCATCGGCATACCCATAAATTGAAGATGTTCGGCGGGGGCTGAAACCGCGTTTGCATCTCTTCTTTTTCTCTTTTGCCCTTTGAAAGCCTTCTTCTTCAGTTGGGCGTTCTGCTGATGAATTTTCCCATTTTCTCTCTTTAAATATTGCAGGTCTTCTTTTTCCTTGACAAGTAGGCTGTTCTCGACAACAAGGACTTCTTGCTGATCTGCCAGACGTTTGTTTTCTTCCCACTGAATGTTGTTAGTTTGGGTCAGTTGACTGATTTGAAGTTGCAGCCTAGCTATCAAAGACGACATGTTTTTGATCATCCAGAGCAGCGCGATGGTAATGGTAGAACAGTCCTCGAGCTGCCCCTTGATGGCTTGCTTTTCATTCGACAAGCGTTCCGTTTCTTGGCGAAGTTCTAAACCTTCCCTACGCAAGCTGCTCTGGCGTTCAAATGTTGCCTGGGCCATGTTGTATTCAGGTTTATCCGAAATTCGAAAAAGAACAGGGTAGATAAACTCGTAACTGCTGTCCCTCTGCATTCAAAAAGGAAAATTGTAGGGGTATATATAACGGTGGAAAGTTTTTGGGGAATTCCCTTCCAAATTTCCCAAATGTTACCGCGCAGTTCCGTTGATGCACTCCAACACGTAGGCCTAAAAACACACTGAAAACACTTATCATATGCATTTAAAAATGAAAATTGAAAATGATTGAAATTATAAAGTCATTTTCAGAGTTTTTTTTATTTATCAGGACGCAACATTTAACAGTGCTTTAAATTTCATCTCAGTGTGTAGTCGGCCAAGTAAATTATCTTTGACCTGCTGCTAATGCTGCCGGTCATGTGTACGTACCATGCCCGACCTTGACCTTGACCGGCGAACGACTGATCGTTGTGTCACCAGTCGTGCTTGTTGCTTACATGCTACGGCTGCTCAACAGCAAAATATTGACATTATACAGACGTTCGTTCCATACTTCCAGCAGTCTCACGATGCCACTGTGTAGATTAGAAACCAATCTGTCCAATGAACAGATTCCAGAGGACTTCCCCATTAAACTGACCGAGATGCTTTCAAAGTTAATGGACAAGCCGAAAAATGTAAGAATAGTCACCGAGTGATAAACAATATAAATACTGTGAACTGTGTAGGAACGCTTTATAAAGTGGACTTTATCCCACTGGGGAGGGAGGGGTGTGCGATTCGTTTAACATGATCATGGAAAATACACATGCCAGTTCTTTCGAACTTACTACGTATGAGTATTTCTGGTACCGTACATGTTGGAGGGGGTGGAGTCATACTAGCATGTTTGTGCCCTGGCTGCTCGTGGCTATTTTTTTACTTACCCACTTTAAGGTCCTATAGTTTTTTATGTTTTGTAAAATGAAATGATGCTTTATCTTAATAAAATATCTGTACTACCCAGTAGTGCAGTAGCTCAATGGCGACTTTTTTTCATTCCAGCGAATTCTTGTCGTAATGCAGCCTAATATGACAATTTACCACGACTGCAAGCAACTCCCGTTTGCCATACTTAACATCAAATCGGTGGCAAGGTTCAACCCAGAAAACAATAAAAAGTACTTTCCAGAAATTGTTAAGTTTCTTCTCGCTGAACTCAAGGTTGAGCCAGAAAAGTAAGTACATGGGGCATAGCAGAGTAATAAAACAGACAGCAGCACAATAGCAACACAAGATATTTCACACAAATGTTGAAAACAACACAACACTTGTATAAATGGAAAAAGGTTAACACCCGTCTAGATGTGAATTTATTGTAAAAAAGAAATTAACAACATGTATATCTGAATATATTTATATGTAGGAAAAATGGCAGGTGTTACGATAAGACTCGTTTAAAATTTCAGACTTGAGATCCTGTTGGAAGACATCTCCCCAGACTTTGTAGGCACTGGGGAAGGACTGCTGTCTCAAACCATGTAACTCGTGAAGACAACATTCTGTAGTGATATTTAAAATGATGGACTAAACATCAAAAAAGTATGCAATTTCCATTTGTCTTTTGGGCTGTTGGCGGCATTATAAAATAAGTTGATTTTTTTAGGCTTGAAATTGCATTTGAAGATGAAAATCCTGATTTTGTTGGCAGTGGTAAAGGACTGTTGTCAGAGTTGATATAACCCATCAAGTTAACAGAGGGAGGTCTTGGATGAAGAAAACACAAGTTTCTTCGCTAATTGGTGTTCAGTTTTTAGTTAAGTTTTCATTAATGATAGATCACGTATTTGATTAACTTGTTGACTGTATGTCTGTTCTCTCAGACAGACTTGGTCACAATCGAATTACCTGTTTAGGTAAAGAGGTAATTACATCAATCTTTATGATGACCTGTTAATCCCTCTTAAAACCTTTAAGTACAAGTGTTTCTTGTCACTAAATTTTGACAAGTGAAAAGTCACATCACTGATACTCTGGACTATGCATTTTTCATGCAGTATAAGTTTTTAACAATACAATTCCTTAACAGCTATATGTGATTGATTGTCATGTAGTTCACTTTGAACTGAACTTTAGTTGTGCAATGATGCTATCTGGACCAATGTTACCACATTTGGTGTTGACATTAGAATGATGTTTGTTCTTCACCTCATTATTAAACTGTTATTCATCTAACAGATCAATTTCTTATGCACAAAAAGTTAAAATTTATTAAAAAGCAACATTTATTTTTATATATATCATATGCATCTGTACATGGAAGTAAATAAATTAAAATGGAATAAAATCTGTGATGCATAATTATGTAAAATGTACAAGTATATAAACAATGAATAAAATTATTAACAAATTGCATTATCTTTCAATATGATAGTTCCAAGTTGCACTCCTCGTTGTGCTATATAAAACTTTTCCACAGCTTTAAGAGGTTTATATTTCCATCAAGATTATCTCAATCTGCACCACCAGCCTGAGCTGGGTAACCAAAGTAGTTATGAATGCCACCTGCACTGATATATCAATATGACAAATGATGCCCATGCTGGAATGTGTCACCAGCATGCACACGTGTCAGGAAGATGCCCATCATCAGCACTGGTGTAAGTCTCACTTGAATGAATGCAGTCAACCCTGGTGATTTATGTATTACACATGTCAACAGTTTGAAAATATATCATCTAGAACTATCCTGGGGGCCACCAGTTTTGGTGTTCTGTGACCACTGGGGCCTCCCGTGTCCTCCACCTCAGGCCTTAGCATGTGCCACCTTAATCAATGACAAATGTAACTTCTCTGTCCAGTTAAATGAAATAAGTTATAAAATGTACCCTTGATATAGCTAATGACTCTGACAAGTATGGCTTCTATTGGAGAATGGATATGAGGGCATCAAAAAACTTGCTTTTGTCCTCTGTTTTCATCTGCATTACTGAAAAACAAGAAATGGTTATCTTATAACAAACACCAATTACTAATTTTATAAGTTGTGTGAAAAAAGCACAATTTAATAAAGCCCGTTCTTGCAATAATATGACGTATACATTTTACCTGGTTCATCAAAACTGTCCTGAAGAGTTCTTGCATTTGTTCCAACTGCTGCCTGTTCAAATGCCTTGCCAAAGAAACTATAATAAACAATGATAAATAATCAAATAGTTTGCATTCAAAGTTACTGAAATTGACATTACACTTCAAAATCACTAACAGACATTACACATGTTCACATGTTCTTCATAATAGTCTAACAAAACGGATCAGTTGGCTCACTGTAAAATGGAGGAACTGTATAACTCACTTTTTCCCCACATCCTTGCTGCTGAAGGGTGGTATCCCCACAATAAGCATAGTCCCGCTTGCTACATCTAATGGGGCACCCAAGATAAGAGGAAGAGTCTTAGCTTTTCTACTTTTACTCTAAAAAGAGATTGTTAATAAGAATTCAGACCAACATGATAAATGCATATGATAATTTTATACAGATGGCCAATGGCCGCTTGTATTAAAAATAAAATTACTAATGTAAAAATTGTTATTAACGCAATTACATTTTTATTCAAAAGTTTTATTGGTATTCAAGTTATTAATGCATAGTTATATTGTTAAACATGAAAATGGGAAGGGTAGAAGAGTTACCACTGCACAGTAGGCTTCCAGTGTGAACCTGGCCAAAGTTTGGAGACAGATTGGCTTGGAAAAAAACTTGGCATCAGGGGTACCCTGAGAAAAATTGAGGAACTCTGAATAATGGTATACCTCATCAATACATACTCTCCATATAATAGTATTTGGCATAGATCAGGGTAATTAAAATTGCTATTCTGCTTTTATTTCTGCTAATCGGCTTTTTAATATTTTAAGAAGCAAGAAAACAAGTTGAGGACAAAGATCTGTTTTTTAAATTTGGGACCATATTGTATTTATTAAATTATGGGAAGCTTGCAAATATAATTTAAAATTCAAAATAGTTTTTACAGCATAAAATTTAACTATTTAAAAAAAATGCTTAACTTCAATATAACAACTACACAACACCTTAATTGAATTCTTATTACCTCCTGAATAAAAGCATAAAGAAATGGTCCAGCTGAAATAACTTGATTCATGTCCAGGAAAGACTGTACTTGTTTGACTATTGCTGTGATCTGCTTCTTGGCTAGATTCAGTCCTTTTTCCATGTACTGAACATTGGACCTAACATGAGAAAATAACCTTGTAGATATGGTAGATTTCCACACACTGGCAGAAGGCTTATGAATATGCATATAAAATTAATTGTGTAAAGAATAAAAAGAAAAATTAATTCTTGACAATGATTGTCATGACAAGGACAAAGCATCTAGCCTAAGTAATTTCAATCCACTAATTCATAAGTTTACTCAAATCAGAAACCTAGGTAAATATGAAATACAAGTAAAGGTAAACTTGAGGCATCATTAAAACCAAACAAATTTGCCTTAGCAAAAGATGTATAAAAAGATATTTTCTCTATTCCACAGTCCACTTGATGCCTACCTGTTCAGAGCATCTAAAGCATCAAGGAATGTATCTGAGGCACTCTTGTCTTTGTCCTGAAAAGTAACATTATTTACAGATTACTACAATGATAACTATGTGTTTTCTTAATTCTGGCTCTTTTATTATGAATAAATGAAACTTTTAAATAAGGAGAAATTTCTAAGCAAATAATAAGAGGCCATTAGAGTGTGTACTTCTGGCCCCCGTTTCACAAAGAATCTTAAATCCGTAGCCGACTAGCTCGAGCTGGGTGGCCTAGCTAGGTCGACTTAGCTGAAGTTGACTAGGAGTGTTTCACAAAGAATCTAACGTCTTAGCTTGGCGTGCTTACCGTAGTCGACGCGCACGAGAAACTCTTCAAGAAAAGGAGGTGTAAAATTGCAAAAGTTTCACAAGACATGACGTTTCATGGCCTCTTTCGGCCGAGAACGATGGTTTATCAACAATAAAAGTCAGCCAAAACACAAACAAAGTTTGTTTTTGAACTTTACTGATTAGTTTAACTTCAATACAACTTCAAAGTAACAGTTAAACATTAGCTTGTCGTGGAACACTACTGAGGGACGTCTAGCGGTCAAAAACATAAACAAACACGCGATCGGCTGGGTAAAGTGGAATTTTATTTTTTATTTTAATATTCCATAAATGTCAGTGCTATTCAAGGATATTATAACACAATATCTTGAAGGAGGTATGTTCTTTCCAAATTTTTGTTGTTTATGCTCTCATTTACCGAGTTTTAGTTGAGCTTGCCGACTTAAGTCTCCTCACGAGGAGGCTTGACATCGTCGACTTACAGCTAAGAAAAAAACGACGTAAGCGACCTTTTAGTTTCTTTGTGAAACGGGACTTAGTGACGTAACGACTTAATTACANACTGAGGTTTATAAATTATGTATTAATTAGCTGGGAACTCCCCGAGATTTTCACCCCGTCTCTCTTTTCGAATGAAGTAAAATATATCGTCCAGAAAAGAAACAACAACGTATTCCTTGTATTTACACATTCCCAGTCAGTTTGAAAACTCGCCGGACATAAGGTCCGACGATACAGGATTTTTTATCGGACCGAGACGAAATTTGCCAGGCATGTCCGACGCCTTTCGTAAAGTCTGTGAAAACAACATTAAAGTTTCTTTCAATGGAAAAATAGAGAAGAACAAAAAATGATACAACTTCTAAATGCAAACAAAACAATTAAGCCAATAATAAATGAATACACAGTGTCAAGTTTTGTGTTGGTGCCACCATGATATCTTAGACTGGGTTACCATACCTAGATCGATCTATCTCCGAGGGGTTTCTCACTAAATTGCTTTCAGCTTAAGCAGCTTAGATGTCTGGTCCGCTTACTAAAGCAGCTAAATGATAATTACCCCCTAGTGGCTTCAGTAGGCTTGAAAGACATCTAACCTGCTTAAGCTGATTGCAACTTGGCGAGAATCCCTTCGGAGATAGATTGATCCCCAGTTAGTACTATACGGTCTGGGAATGGTCCCTTAGTGCTTACCTGTGGTTGTGTCTGGAGACATGCATCTGTAAATCTGATACCATTTCAATGTACTTTTCTCTGTCTATCTTCCCATGGGCATACTGGTCTGTCACCCCCACACATGCCAGCCTACAATGTCCAATGTTTACAGCAATTCTAGGTTTCAGTTAGTAAAAACATTGTGATTGTTTTAAATAGATGTTCTGTTAAACATACTACAGCAATTTTTGTTCCTGTTTCACTTTTCTTTCTTTTCTTTTTTTTTTTTTTGACATAGGTGTATTGAAATTTTATTTTCCTAAAACTTACCACACTAAGTCATTTGTATCTTTTGACATTTTCCACGCAAGCTCAAACATTGTTTTTGAAACCTGGAATGGAATGTATGCGATCAATCACTCAACCTCTCTATATCTATTTCTCTAATGGCTTTTTAAATATTTTGTGGCTGTCACTTGTGGTATGCATTTATGCCATATTACAGAATTCCTTAATTGCAACATATTAAAAATGTTTTAAAACCTTAAACTTTTTTGTTCTTGCTCAAACTCAAAGTGGACATAATAATAGGGAAATATTGCCTTGTTATATTCCTTTATTATATCAGCTGCAACACAGAGGGTTCAATTTTTTTAACAACTTAAATGGAACACTATAAACGGGAAAAAAAATGTCCACTCACCGATGTTCCATATTTTGAAAACTGCGTATACTCAAAAAGTATTTGTTTTCTGAAATATCAAAAAAGAGACATTTTTCAGCTCTAGATTCAATTACAAATTCAAACAGTTATCTTCCTATGTGCAGCCAGTAGTCCTATGTCTGCAGAAGGATAATGTGTGAGATAAAATATGTTACCGACTAAATTAAATAACAAATAATAATAACTGTCAGTGCATGTTGGGACAACAATCTGGAAAAAAACCACAAAACTTGTGAAAAAAACTTTTATAAATACTGACTTTTTCTCCTCCCAAAGCCTCCGTTCTCGCCTTTTCTCCAGTGCAGCCTCATCAAACCTACGCCTTTTTCCAGAAGGTTCTGATGTGTCGCTCTCATTGCCTGAATCTTCATCACCAGACTAGAGGGAAAAAATGATATCCTTGCACTTGCATTGTTCCAGTTAATAAACAGAAAGATTTTTAAAATTTATACCATGAAAATATTTGATACCAATTATCTTACAATGATGAAAGGAACTAAGACCCAATTCCCATACCTAGATCGATCTGACAGAATTCTCACTGTATTGCATTCAGATTAAGTGTCTCAGATGTCTGGCATGCCTACTGAAGCTGCTGAACAATAGTTAATTACCCCCTTACAGCTTCAGTAGGCATACCAAACAGACGCTGCTTAAGCTGAATTTTATTTAGCAAGAAACCCTTTGGAGATGCATCGATCATGTTAGATTGATCTAGGTATGGGAACAGGGTCTCACAGTTGAGTACTTTACCCCTATAATTTTATATTCCCCATACACAAATACCCAAGCTGATAACCTACCTCATCCTCTCTGAACACTTCATCAAAGTCTGGGATATCATGAAGATCATCATCTGCTTGGTTCATAAGAAGTTTTACTTGCACTTGATTGAAAACATTAGTCACATCAATGGGACGGTGGCTAAAATAATAATATGGGACAGTGTACACAAACTTCACAAAGAGAAGCTCAAATCATAATATATTTTAAAGAAGGGTGGATTAATATACTTAACATGTATATGAAAATTGAAAAAAAAATAATAATTTGAGATACCAAACTTTGGACAAAAATGTAAATTTAGCATCCCATATGCTTTAGAGATACTCCTAATCTTAAATTAAACAATTAGTAAAACTCTCTCTAAGCACATTTCTATATCTCTTACATAGTAAGATGTACTGTAGTGTAAGCAATGTCCATACCTGTCACTAATGTAAAAAACAGTTCCATTTTCTGGCTGCAGAGTTTCCACAACATCTATATTACCACCACAGCCTATCATAACCACATGCTTAATCTGTAAGAAAATATTAGGTTTAACCTAATCAAATAAAAATGTTATGGCAGCACTCACAGACAAAATATTTGGTGAGTTATGAAAGGGGTGTTAAGGCTATCATAAGTTGGAAAGCTTTTATTGTACAAAATACTGGATTTTTGCAAAAATTGATATATATACTAGGTATGTTGCACTCACCCCTTCAGAATTTTCAACATATGCATTTTCTAATTCCTGTTTTCCTGACACTGGGACTATAGTATACAGCACATGATCACATTGGAATAAATACTGTAAACAAAACATCAGATTGAATCTATCTTTCATACCAATTTGTAAATGCATTTCTTCTAACATCTTTCCTGCCATATGTAATTTTTTTACAGAAATATAACAGAACAAATGCATAAGGTAATACAATTCAAGATGAAGTTGAAGGTATTTATTTCAGTTAAAAAATCCTTGATTCTGGAAAATATAATAAGTGCAATATGCATATCTTTCTGGCAAAGTAATTCATGACTCACCTGAAGTATCTTACACGCACATAAGGCATCAACATCAAAGGAAACCAGCACCAAAACTCTCTGAAACGATAATGTTAATGGGAGATCAGAATATTGTTCATATGTTCATGTTCATCATAGGTCAGGCTAAAAATATACGTTCTTCCTTAAGCAAAGCAAAAATGCAATAAATATAACAAACATGTAAAATGTTAAACTCAGAACCATGATACTGACACTCAACACTGTCTACACACTACATACTACTTGACTTCAGACAAACTCTGCAGTTGTCTCAGTTGGTTATCTCACTGTCACTAACCATATAAGTCTAATAAAACCCAACCTGCGGCACATAGCTGAGTCTGACATTGTCCACTTCTAGCACATACGTTATACACTAGAGTGAATTATTGCATACAGTGACAGCGCTGTAGCTTTTACGTTATACGAAATCTGAACGTTAAATTGATGTTGATTTTAATGACTATATTTCAGAGTCAATAAGCCATACCTGATGTTGAATCTTTTCATAAAATTCTTTCCTTAAATCTTTTACAAAAACCATAACGAAGTTGTGAAATTTAAACGATGAGATCTCTGTTTCGAGTGCTTTGATTCTGGCGCGATATACTAGGAACGTACTGAATAATTCAAAATCTCTGATTTGTCGATAAAGAATGAATTGCTCACATTCTTATTATTCTTTTGATATCTTGTGAGTAAATGAATCTTAAAATGAATATATACGTTTACTGGAATATATATTTTACATTTAATCTTTAAAACAACTGTAATAAAATGTGATACTGTCATGAGACGGAAAATCACCTAAATATGCTATCTGGTGCGGAATAGTCTCGTAAAAATTCAAAACTTCCGGCCAGTGACAAGGCAGATGTTATACGAAGATTATCAAACCCATTATACGCAATGGTAAGCTGTTTGAAGGACGTTATATTGATCCTGTTATTGGGATGAAACAAATATAATTATTATTCACTAATTTTCTATTCAATTTTACAAGAAAATGGTGTTTTCTTTTCAGTTACTGCTGTCAGTGATAGTGAAAGTTAAAAGAACAATGTACCCGTACACGCTCTGGTGTCACTTAGATAGTTTAATGAATCTAAAAACCACAAAATGACTTTTGATTGTCTTAACAAGTTGCAAATAAAAGAAATTGAAATAATATGTGATTACAGATAGCAGGATATCTAAAGTTTATTTTTATGCACTGCTTTATCAAACTTAAAATATTATATTTTTGACTTTAATACTAAGTTGTCATATTTGTGTCTTTTTAGTTTGGGTTTGGACGCATGTTTCCGGAACTGCCCGGGAATTTTAAAACAACATACAGGTGTTTCTCAGTGGTAATGATTTCTGGTAACTACAGGGAAGATGTAGAAAGGGGAGGAAAAAGTAAGCTGAGTAGATACAAATACTTATTTTCCAAACTCTCATAAGTAATGAACAGTGTTTGTGAAACTCAATTCATTTATAAATACCAAAATATGTAAACTTAAACTTGTTTTAAATTTACTTGGTTACCACAGGCTTGCATTGTTAAAAGTACATGATCAAAGTTAACTTTAGGTCAAATTTATAAGAAAATTATGCTTTAATATGCTTCTGTTTTATTTTAGTTATAATGCCACCTTCAGCTTTGGATACTCTCAGTAAGTTTTTTTTTTTTAATCTCTGTGTGTATTTTTAGCATGTTTTTTAGCATGTGATACTTGATCAAAATATCAACATTGCACTCTAACTTCATGGTTTATAGAAAAGAAAAGATATGTTTAATGAATGATAAGTCATGTGTATTGGTGTATCTGGTGCCATAATAATATGTTCTTATCATAATATAGTCTGTTTAACAGTCAGATATATATCATTTTTATATAGCAGAGGTCTACACTGTTTGTATTTATATATATAAATTAGGATCCTGTGTATTGTATCTTTCCATGTCGTTGCTATCACTGTAGCACATATTCACACTATTTGTGTTTGTTTTTTTTTTTACATGTATTTCTGGCGTTGATATAAAAATTACAGAAGTTATCAAGAAAATATTTTTCATCTGTATAATCATATGTCATTCCTCTGAACCTATATACTGTTAGTACTGGTATTTGATGAGTATAATATTATCATTGTTGTGAAAGTGATATTTCTTGCAAATTTTCATGAATATGTAGCCAAACACCTTGTCTGATATTGTGAAATTTTAACATATATCACAAAATAAAAAGTTTTAAAAGTTTCTGTATACTTTTATACAGCACGTTTGAACATTCAGTACCCTATGCTGTTCAAACTTGTCAACAAAAAGACTAACAGAGAAACTCACTGTGGGGTTTTGGAGTTTGTAGCAGATGAAGGAAGAATATATCTGCCTGGATGGGTAAGTATGAATGCCATTTGTTGTGTGGCACAGTGATTTTTTTTCTATTTACATACATAAATATTTTACATCAGTAACTTTCAATGTATATTTTATGTGTATTACATTTGCAGTTTTATACATTTTTTTGCTGTCTTCCAATTTTAATAACCTTATCCTATTTTACATGTAAGAATGCAGATGTTATATATATATATATATATAGTAATGTGCCATGAATTCCGAACAGTAAAAAATAATTAAATTTGGGAAAAGATCGTTCTGGCCGAAATTCATGAAAAGGAGGTGCTCAGAACTCCTGAAAGTTCGTATTTCATGGAATTCTGTCAATTTTGACCGGAAGTTGTCTGTTCGTCGCTAGGCCTTCTGCTATCTTCTCCCGACGATCTATTTAGAGTTACCATAATGTATGATGTGTGAGTGTCGGTAATTGCGACCAAAGGTATACACGTACTTTCACCCGATCACTGTGTATGGCCCATAGATAGAGCGGTACTCTTGTCTAGGGCCGCAAAACAGCATTGTTATCAGTAGTGTCGTTTTTCAAAAGCGATTCTGGCGCTCAGAACGGGAGTGGACGGAGGGAGAGACGGCCGACGATTAGCGTCTGCCACGGCCAGATAACCTTTTCTATGGAAGCTTAGTGTTACCGTTGCTCCTTTCCGTGCACTGAAACGGAGACGGCAGCCGATCAGTGTCTATGGCGCACGTGCAGGTAGCCTTCATCTGCGATAAGTGTCTTCCGCAACCAGGTTCGTTGCCTTTACCGTTAAAGTCGGGCG